GTAAGTCAGCCATTCTGGCTGAAAAGAGCTTCTTCCCTTTCAGGGTGAGGTGGGGGGGGGGGGAAGAGAAATCACTTATTCACATAGGTATGTTAAACACAAGAAATAAAAATGTTAAAAGAGTAGTGATACTGGTAATCAAAGTAAATAATAGTACTTAATATAATATTAAGAAACTTTAAAACACTCACATAGGTCACATGAAAAATAAAAGACATCTTCTGTGGATTTGTAGTTTGCATGGATTTGAAGATTCAACCTGGATATCTTCCATGGATCACATCTTTTCTAAAATGATACTAAAACATGACGGGCCAAAACTTACATTAAATGATATTTTTAAATAAATTGAAAGACCCTTTCTGACTTCTTGTTTGGAAAGCAATTATAAAGAGTATTTTCAGATTTGACCTGGTCTCACACTAACCAGTGGAACATATTAACAGTGTCCCAACCAGAAGTATTCATAAAGCACCTTTAAAACAAAACATGAAGATTAACTGGAATCCTAGCAGTGCTAATATTTCCACATATATGGATCCTATGAAAGTGTTGGGTAAATAAACATACAGTAGAAAGTACTTTAACATTTTCAAACGAAGCTTACAGAAATAGATAATTTCCTTTCCATGTCCCATGAATCATTTGGGGAAAGATATAGCTGTAGCAAAATCTTTGACTATGGCATTTCAATTTTAAATTGTATTGGTTGATAGAAATATTCTGTAGAGATTACACAAAGAATGAAAATATCCCATTTGCAGTGAGGCTGACTAGAATTTTTTTGTTTTGTTTTTTAAAAACTGTTCTTGGTGGCAAATAAGATGAACAAATCAGGGATGGATTTCTGAATGGACAGCAGGAGAATCCAGTTGTCTCTATTTTGGTGCCCGTATTATGAAGAGAACAAAAATCCCTGTATATTGGAGCTTTTTTCACTCGCTCAAGCACAATACTTGCAATTATTATGTAGGGGCATGAAAATAAATCATGTGCCAAAGCCAGTGTTGCCGATATCTTAAAATTAGCATGTGTATCTGTCCCCCCACCATTTAAATTAGGCTAAATTATCTTTGTCTAACATTTTTGCTGTGCTAATTTTCTGCCAACTGACTCTGTCCTAGAGCCCAGACCATCACCTAAATCTGAATTCATATATTGTCTCATCTTAATACATAAAATTCTTATCTTGGGGAATCCCATGGAATGAGCAAGAATATCTGGAAAAACCATGAGAAGCGGGTCTCAAATTCTGTGATGTAATAACAACAAAATTGGCAAAGCTGAAAATTGTCCATTCAACCATGAGTAGTTTTGAAGCCCTTGATTGAAAAAGGAAAATGAAACAGCCAAATGATGAACTTCTCACACCTCTCCATGCAATTCACATGGCAAGATATTTATTTTCATTTGTATCTTTATAAAAACTTGTATTCATAAATGGTACTCAACTTTTTAAGCTTATAATATAAAAAATTTTCAGAACAAATAGAAAAATTACTAACAGCTGGGACAGCAAAGCTTAATTGGATGAATTGCAATCTGACTGGCTTTAACCATCTGCATACTTATTTCTCTTTATGAGAAATCCAGCTGCAAGTGCTGCCACATTTGCCAATACCTCCAATTAGTTATGTGCCCTTTATGGATATCATTATTTTTCACAGCCACACTGCGGTGTTTAATATTTAAAGAAAGCAATAGCAACAGAATGAAAAAGTGCTATGTTTTAGAGGAATCCTATCTTTAAAGCATCTTTTAGTACATTTGTGGCCTTTTCCCATCACATGCCACTCATGTGAGAAGATAAATAAAATATTTTGCTGGCCTACGCATCTACCTTAAAAAACTTGAAGTAAAATGCTTCAGTTGCAGAGCACTTTGGAAGCAACTTCTACTCATGCAGCAAATATACAGCATAGGTGTAAATTGACCTAAGCTCTGATGGACAGGTGGAAAATTTTATGCATTTCAGGTGACAGCCCTCTTCCTGATGCAGGGGCTCTGGTGAGGCCCCAGTTCTTATCTGAAACTTTTGAGGACCTGACTAACAAGTACCCTTTCTTTTGGAGGCTTCCACAGAAGAGCCCAAATCTTTTGAAGTGGCCTCAACACTAATATTGATATATGTTTTTGTTGCAGTTCTGAATTTAGATGAGCAAGATTTAGATTTAAATAAAATCAGAAAGATTTATTCAAATTGCTTTAATCTTACCATTTGCTCTCCAACCTATTCAAAAAGTTAAGAGCCTCCCTTGAGATTCCTTTCACTTCTGGTTCTGTTCCCATCCAGAAAGCATCCAAAGCACTGTTGAACTTGAACATATTGGTTGGATTTAAATTAATTTTCCAGAACATAACCAAGACTCAGAAATTTAGAAGGTTTTAGTAGGTTTGTCAACTGATACTCTTTTCCTTTCATCCAGTTAACAAGTTTGAGACTTTCTTTCACATTCTTTCAACAAATTAGCAATATCAGTAAGAAGTCTATAACAGTAAGAAATCCTCCTTTATGCCACAGCTACAGATCAATTTAATTTATGAATGGGTTTATATGTTGTGGTTGCCTGCAGTTGACGAAATGGATCTAGTGGCCCAGGTCTATGCTACTTAGAAGAATAAGCAGAAACCATAAAAATAA